TGCCCCGCACCGCTTCAAGAAGGTGGTTGCTAGCGTGCACTGACGTACGGAACTAGATCTGCATCCCCTTAAAAGCTACAGAATCAGGCTTAAGTGAGCAATGGAGTATTGTAACGCGGAGTAACGCACGTGCAGCTGTCTTGATATGCCAGAATCGTCAGTACTAACAAAAATAATGATTAAACGTGGAAAAGGCCATCTCCAACGTGGTATCAAAACAGCTCTGACCTGCAGCACCAAAGAAACACCCTAAATCTATATTTATACTGTTTCAAAAACTGTAGTTATTTGCTTAGCCCACAACACCTCCAAGGAGGAGAGGAGGGGAGTCCAGCGTCTGCCAATTACCAGGCACCGGGCATGTTTGCAGAACGGTTAATCAATTAAGAAAGAGAGGATGGCAGGATAATCCCGCCTCTCCTGCATCGTCCTAGCAGCGCTGGTCCGAGGGGACCGGCGAGGCAGGGCGCTGGACGGGACCCAGCTCGCTGCGGCATCCCACCGCAGCAGCGGGAACGCCGACACTGCTGCCATTGTCGTCACCAGACGGCGAGCCACCCACGAGCGGGACCCCGGGAGAGCTTTTGAGGACCGCTGGACATTTGCTGGCCAGTCGAGGGCTGCGAAAGCCGGTGTGGGAAGACCAGACCCCGCCAGCGAGCAGCTCAGAACACAAACAGCCGGGAGCCCAGGGGCGAGGTGCCAGCCGCGGCAGATGCCAGCCGGCTCCCGCCGCAGGAATGTGCTCACCGAGGCATGGAAATCAAAAAACATTAAGGGAAAGAACTTCCTTTTATTCAGCGTTTGTGCCTGGAGAAATGGAGCCGAGAAGCAGACACCTTTCCCCCAGTAGCACTGCCCCGCTGCCACCCCGCCACGGGACCGAAAATAAGCCGGTGTCCACCATGACCTCTCTGCAGGCACTGGGCTGGTGGGGAGCGCCCGCGGGAGGGACGGCTTCCCACCTTGCACCAGCATCGCGGCAGCTACATCGCGCCGTCTTCACGAGGCAGCGACGGGTCCAAACCCCTGTCCAAGCCTGCCTGCTGCAGCCACAGCACACGCACCCCTGCAGGGAGAGCGTCCCTGTCCCCAAAAAGCTGCAGTCTCAGCCAGCGAAGAGATAAAGGGTAGAAGAAAGGGAAATTTATCCTCAGAGGAAGAAAGATGAGAAGGTGGTTTGAGGTTTGGGCAGTTTAACCTCTGAAAAAGGTCTTGTTCCAGAAATACACATGGGTGGGGTGTATTTATGGATGGAGTTTGCAAGGCCCTCACCAGCTTTTTGCTCCAATCCGACCTGCGCTGGCAGAATTCTCCACAGAAGGGGTAAGCCGTTAGCTGGTATTTTTTGCAAGGCGATGGGAAAACCAAGTATCAGACTTTAGCTGCACTCAGGGAGGGAGCACGGATACGCTACCTAGCTTCAGTGTCCAACAGAAACGGGATGGATTTTAAATCTCACCCATCAGTTGCTCTTGCACAGTAAAGCTGGTATGTAACTGCAGGAATTGCTCCTCAGGTGATTACAAGTAAGATTATGGTGGTTGAACCTGCTCAGAGGAAAAAAAAAAAAATCAGTGGATAGAAGATGATGCTTTAGAGGTGAATCTTTTCTTTTCCAATCATTCACCCAGCTCCCTGTCCGAGCCTTACGAGCGGCACACACCTAAGGGGCACTCCTAGTCCTGATCAACCTGGAGAGGCAAAGGAGGAAAACACGGAGGGTTCTTCTGTCTACCTCCTCTTTCGCTGCCTCAAAGGTCCTGACCAAGGCACTCAAAGAGCTACTCCAGGCATCAAAGCGTGTGCACGACCATTGCGGCGCCTACTGAACCAGGCATAAGCAAAAATGCCACCGTTCTGATGGAGGAGTTTTAAACCCTACAGTAACGACAGCAGTGAGCCCTGCAGGAGATGCCTCCAGCAGGAGCCCGGCGCTCCGATGGTCAGAGCATCCCGCCGGCGAGGAGGCAGGAGAAGCGCTCGGCGCCGCGGCCCCGACCGCGGGCGTCGCACCTCAGGGCTGACAGACGCTGGCAGCGGTTTGCACCAAGCTCCCACATTACGTCGTCGTTCCGCCAACCCCACCTGCCCCACCGGCTCACCAGAGCCTACGTTCACACCCCAGAAGCCCCTTTTCTCCCCCAAATCAGTCATGCAATGGAAACACCGTTCCGACTGACAGCTGCCGGGCGGTTTTCATAACGCCGTCCAGAGCATGCTCGGCAGTGCTGGCGAATTCCTCGCTGCAACAATGGAAAAACCCAGAAATCTCGGTGAATAAGCCAGTCTGTGTCCTAAGTCAGCCCTTGGATTTCCTCCCTTTCTTGAGCCTGTCTCGCCTCTGCAAAAGCTCCGCTGGGGCTCTGCAGCCAGCCTCAGGAGCAGAAATCTCAACAAGCTCACAGTTATGTGCTCGGCTCTCAGCTGTTTGCTGCAGCCAGGAGCTGGCTGGAAATCAGTTCAAAATGTTCCACTTCCAAACCCCAGCCCACAACCCCTGGATCTCTCTTCACACCGACAGCAGCAGGCACTGGGGCTTTTAACCGCTTTGCTTTAGCCTTCTCTATTGGGAGAGCAAGGGACATCCCCTGCGCTAACTCCCCTCTGCCGCTGCTACCCCAAGACAGGAGCCAAGGCAGACCCCAGTCCCAGCTCCAGCCGTGATTTCCTTGCTCGGCTACTTCACCACCCCTTTAGCAAAGTCCACGCCTTTCCCTGTCCACGACTTTGTCTCGAGAGCTGCAGGCATCGCCATCCCCCTCATCTGAGCCGGGCACGCAGCGGGGCACCCCTGCCCAGCATTCCGTACCCACCACCCACGCCCCGCCGCTTCCCTGCCGGCTCTGCCGCTGCCCCATCCCTTGTTGGAAGGCAACAGCCACCGCTCCACAGTGCCACGTGCCGAGAGAAACCACCCTCACACAGGGTCTCCTGACCGTGGCCAGCTCTGGATGTGTCACGCTCCACTGCTTGTAGGAAAGATGCAGCAGAAATGAAGACTGCCTTTGTCTCCCTTTCTTGGCCAATTCCTAGGTGTGGTCTAGATCTGGAAGTCTTCAACCAAAATTCTGCATTGCAAGAGCAGCTACAGTGCTGTTGGCCATTGGCATGGCCCTGTATTCGTTCCCGTCTTCTCCTGGCCCTGCTGAGGCAAACTCCATTGAAATCAGCAAGATGAGACACCCCCCCAAAAACCTTTCTCTGTGATAACAGGACAAGGTTCTTCCCCCCAAACCAGCTGAGGCCAAACACAGCCCAGGAGCCCGCTGAGAGCTTCAGCACAAGGTGGCCGTGGAGCACAGCGGTGCTCCCCGCTACACCATTCAACCAAAACAGGTTGGTTTTCCCCCCAGGGAAGAATCTGGGCCCCCGCTCAGCTCCGCAGGGACCAGAGAGCTTCCCCACGGAGCAGGTCTGCGTTTGTTCTTCCTGACCATTTCCCTCCCTGTTGCAGAGAGGAAAGATACCCCCGCAGGGTTGCTTCGGCAGCGGGGCCAGGCAGGACTGCGGACACTCCTCTGCCTGGTGCCAAGGGGTTAAGCTCACAGTAAGTTCCCAAAGCCAGTTGCTTCCAACTGGCTGCTGCCTGCGGTTTGTGGGAAGGGATTTTGCTTTTTAATAACATTATAAATAGGGCTGTGTTCAGCATGCTGCAAACCCAGTTACTCTCTCTCTCCCACCCATCTGCCGCCTCCTCCTCCTGCTTCTCTTCCCACCACACTAATTCCAGAACTGACCATGAATCGGTCAGGCTTCTTCCTCAGTGTCCTCAGCCTACTGGCATGTCTTGCCTCCATCGTGCAGGCATGTCCCCCGAGCTGCCACTGCCACGGCGGCGACCTGCAGCACGTCATCTGCGACAACGCGGGACTGAAGAAGATCCCCAAGGTGCCTGAGCAAACACGGCTTCTCAACCTGCAGAAGAACAACTTCCCCGTTCTGCCGACCAACGGCTTCCGTGACATGAAAAAGCTGGTGTCCCTGCACCTCCAGAGCTCACGGATCAAGGAGATCTCGACCGGAGCCTTCCGGGGGCTCAAGAGCCTGGTCTACCTCTATCTCACCGATAACCAGATCAGTGTCATAAAGCCAGGAGCCTTCGATGACCTGTCTGAGCTCACCTACCTGTACCTGGACCAAAATAAGATCCCAGACCTACCCAAAGGGCTCCTCTCCCCTCTTGTCAACCTCTTCATCCTGCACTTAGGCAGCAATAAAATCCGGGAGCTGAAACCAGGGGTCTTTAATGGGGCTAAAGACCTGCGCTGGCTCTTCCTCTCGGACAACTCCCTCACCAACCTCCTGCCTGGGGCTCTGGAGGATGTAGAAAACCTCGCTGTCCTCCACCTGGACAAGAACCAGCTGAGCAGCTACCCCGTGAGCGCAATGAGTAAGCTGAGAGTGCTGGAGGAACTGAAGCTTTCTCATAACCCAATTGAGGTCATCCCTGACAATGCCTTCCAGTCCTTTGGGCGTTACCTGCAGACACTCAGCCTGGACAACATGAAACTGAAGAAGGTGAGTCTCTTTCCATTTGCTCCAGATAAAAAATACAGGGCTTCTCCTTTACAAAGCCCTCGGTTTGCTGTCCCTCCCTTGCAGAGGAGAGTGGAGATGCAGGTCTGCAGGCTCTGCAGACAGCGAGGCACTGGCCAGCTAGTAACACCCCTGACACGGCCCAAACAAGGGATGAGAGAGATTACTCCACCCTTCTGTTGAGTTATTTTATGCAAAACCAAATTATCTGGAGCTGATCAAACTCCTTGGAAAGGCAGCGCGTTCCCTCCCAAGCTGGAGGTGACACCAGTTGTTGACAAAGGTATTTGGGGTGCTCCAGGACAACTAACAACCTTCTGTCACCCCAGACACAAGGCGTGGGATGAGCGGCGAGCGTCTGCCCCTCGTACTCGAGGGACTGAAGGGCCCTGACACCTCGCAGAGCCGAACTGCTCTGCCTCCTCCGTTCAGCCTGGGTACCTGTTGTAGGCTGGGAGGGGGAGACCCCTCGGGAGGGGCTACGAATAGCAGCGGTTTCGTACCCGCGCCTTGCAGACAGGTAGGCATTCCGACCCTCGCCTTCACCTCCCCCCATGCCTCCCAGCTTTACAGGCTATAAAGAAAGGTTTGTTTATCGGCGCTCTCAAAAGGGACTCTCGCAGCATCTTACAAAGGGGCCCTGTTCCCACTGGAGAGGAGGAGGGACATTCAGGTGTCCCGAATGGCAACCCC